TATCAATTATAACGCGGGGTATCAGACCCATGTGGAAGCCGACCGCTTTCTCTGAAGAGCCCAGAGGAGTACTCTCTAGGATTAAGGATAAGATAGGAAGGAGTGGCTCCCCGCTTAATCACATGGGCTTTTTTTTGCAAAGGGATGGTCGCTTTTGTACTTTTTCCGCAGAAGGGGCTGCGATAACTGCACCATCAGTGTTACAGCTGATGCCACTTGTGCTTTTTAATCCGCAATTACAACAACTATCGTCGTTCTCACAGAAAGGGGGGAGTGGGGTGGAGGCGAGTGCCCATAAAACTAGCGGCGACGTTCCGACACCAAACTTCCGATTTATAGAAGAATGGAACCTGAAGGTGCTGTTATGCTCTATGCAGATAGGTCTGAATTCAGCTCTGCTAGTCGCTTTTCAGCACGCACTTTTGAATCGGAATCATCCTATGGGGTTTCTCCAATTTTTCGGAATTATTCCCTTTCCAGGACTCGTGATTCCTCTACACTTGAAACTTGTGATATTGTCGTGGATGTAGGAGGAGTATACGACCATTCGAAAAAACGCTATGATCACCATCAAAAGTGGGTTTTTCTGCTCTTATTCTTTACCGTTTGATGGATTTTCTTAACGATTTTAGTTTTGTTCAGGGAATTCAATGATACTATGCAAACCCTCGGTGTGCTTGATTTTAACACCAAACTGAGTTCAGCAGGTTTAGTATATGCGCACTATGGAAAGCAGCTTATTGCTGAGGTAGTGTTCTGTTCTATTTTCTGCAATTCTGAATTTTCCAAATATTTGCTGTTCAATGCCCACTAATTAACTCTTGAACTTCTTCTTCTTCTCCCTAGCGTTAGTCCCGCGCAGTCGCAGGGTCCGCTGTTTTTGTCAGTCGTCGCCACTTTGCTCTGTCCAGGGCATCTTCCATCATGGCCGTGACCTCACTAATTAACTCTCAATACCCCTTTACTAATTTGTTTTTTGAAAATTACTCTCATTTGAAGGAAATCGAATTTATAGATTTTGGGAACCTCTCATGAGGACAGAATGGTGGGCATATTTTATCGAAAACTGTATGAGACGTTTGTCGAAGCCGTAGATGCAATCGACAATGGAATACCACAGTATGATGGAATTCCAAGGTGAGGTTTTCTAAAAGTTTCACTGCTCTTTATGGATTGTCATGCAAGTGTCTCGGTGTGGGCTGCTGCGCCTGAAGACAGAAGCAGATGTGGTGGTTGCTTGAACAATAATGACGAAAACAAATAAGTGGCTCCGAACCTGGCGTATTGTGTACAGGTTGCATGGGCGCAGATTGCCTTCCTCTTATTGTTCTTCTTTCGCCGAGGCTGGTGTCAGAGCCCGCGATCCGTCGCGCGATTCGTCGGGCGACGGAACGCAGGAATGGTCTTCTCTTTCCATACGATCTGAGGATGTGCAGCAGCTTTCTTTTGTCTCTGTTCATAATTGACCGACCAAATATACTTCTTTTAATAGTCGTAGTAGCATGCATAAGCAATAATGGAATATGGTTCCAGCGACACTATGAATTTCATGGTTTTCAGATATCATATGTCTGGAGGACTATCTGGACGCGTCGGTCATCTCAATCCGCATTGGAATGAGGTGGACGTGAATCCTGATGAGCGGTTTCAGCAAGCAATGGAACTTGTCGGAGGTAACTTCATTGTGATTAAAATGCTGTCGAAATCTGTGTAATAGTTTCTGTATACTGCAGTAATATGCGATTTCTCTTAATACAATGTATTATTTGGTTTTTGTAAATAGCATTGTAATTATAGGAGAGCATCTTAAGCTTTAACAGTAGTGATTGCTTATCAAAGCTTTCATATTTATCTATAGGGCTGTAATATAGGTTACGGGTGTGATCCAGGTCCGAGGCAAACGGTGCGACATTGCTACCGCCTGCAGAAGTTCTAGTTCGCGGGAGCCGAGTCCGTTGATCAATTATTTCCCTTTCACTCTTACACCCCACCTGCGCCTCCTTACCGCTTGTAGAAAGCAATAGGAGTGACTTATTAGGCCGTGGTGAACATGTTGGAGACTCTGGCCGCCTTGGCCGATGTAACTATGCGGATCCGACGCGCAAGCGAATCGTGGAAGGCTAGGACACAGCAGCAGTTTGGTGGTATGCGACAGTGGTTTAAACGGCGCATCACTGGAAAGTGGGGACTGTTGACGTGCGAGCAAGGAGTACACTGTCACTTTTGTCACATTGTCGAGATCATGAATATTTCGGACCACCGGTATACCGCTCGAACCACTGGTGCATAATTCGAACGCTGGCGCTTTGCTCGTGTCCCGTGATTCGCTAGCCATTCGCCGGTACGCAACGTCTGGTACCGGTCTTACTAGATGAGAGCCTGTAATACCGTTGCTTACTCTGTTTGTTTTCACTTTATCTATAGAAGTTGGTAAATATGATTATTTGCTAGGGCGTTAAAGGCACAACCCAGGCAGAGGTCGTGTGAACGCTTCCCTTCGGTCTGTAGTATAGACCCCTAGAGGACAATCACAAATGTGGCGTTACCAACCGACAAGAGCGCTTGGGCCTTGCAAAGTAAGCTGCTGAAGCTGCAGATTTTTTTCTCTTATCAGGCGCTCTCTCATCTGTAGCGCTCTCTCGCCTCATACTCTCCTCTCCGCGCTTAGTCTCTCATTCCCTTAGCACAGCCGATTAGAAGGTGAGTGAGCCCTTAACCTAAGCGTTTTCGACGGATTCTTTTCCTTTTTTCTTTACTGCCGGCCCATTTCGCACCAATACATTCGCATTCGTGTGCAAGAGCCACACCAATGTGATCCTGGGGCATGCCTTTAATCCGTCCGCAAAATTCCCACATACCCTCTGATCAATTCCCCTCAACCTGATTGTTGGCTTGACGCGTTGCCGCAATCAAGGAAGCTTCGGATCCGATTAAAAAAGCGTTGCCGCAATCAAGGAAGCTTCGGAACATCTCTGCAGAATCTCCACGTTTGAAATTGAGTCGCTTTCTCCTTGGCCCTAGGGCTCTCCTCGAATCTTTCAACTTCGAAAAATCTCATTCAGAACTCCGAACTCGTGGTACGGCCTAATATTTTCGAAATTGTTGTTTCAGCTGAATTCGAATCCAGCGTTTCGTATTTGGCTAATGTTTGGTGGCCAGCGCGAGAAATCGTGGAAAAAGCCATCGATGAGTCCACACAGGCAAGTTTGCGAAACTTCTCTCCTTATGATAGCCTTGCTGTAATGAATATGAACAAGCATGAGCAGCCGCCTCCGATGGAAAGAATCTCGTGTGCTGTGTTCTTGGTTTTTAAATCCTTTTCCAGGTTGACAGCAGCGGGCGGATTCTTTACATTTCGTGTGGTGGAGTTCCATGGAAAGAACACTTCTTCCAACTCGAAGAGGAGAAAGGCTTGGCGTCTCGGCGAATTACATATATCATCTATGAAGGTACTACATGTGATTGTGAACTTGTGCTGACCTTTCGGCTACGCTGAGATTGTTTCAAAACTGCTGAAACTTTCAGACACGACTGCCAAGAATTATCGAATACAAGCGATACCTAACAGTAGTTTATCAACCTTTGACAACAGGTGAGTGACTCATTAAAAAGGGAAATATTCCGTGACTTGGAGAAATTACACTCTGGAGCCCTTCTGGGAAAGGGGGGGGGTGTTGCTTCGACAGGGCAACTGAATTTTTAACTTTGGCTTTGCCCACCTCGGTGCGTACTACAAACACAAGGAGGTCTTGAATCGTCCTCCTTCGCTAGTCTCTATTCGCTTTTTTCAGCTCCTTGGGCAAAAATGTGGGTATGGGTTTATCTCCGTCCACCTCAACCACGACACATTCAAAAGAAGCATTCGACCTGCCTTCCTTTGACATCCTCTACCCATTTCTCGGTCCCATCACTAATTTATAATGGTCTGTGACAAACTCCGCCTACTCTGGTAGACCGCGCCCACCAATAGCAGTTGACCTCACCCTTGTCACAGACCTCTCACTTTTTTCCCGGTTATCGGCAGTCTCAGAATCGAACTATAAAGCTTTGTAGGGGACGCTGCCTGCCTGAGGCAAATTCTATTGAGGGCGGGCCTCCGCACACTTCATGCGTGCTGGATACACACTGGCATTGCTCTTTTGCACCACTTTTTTGCTTTGAAGAAAATCTTATTTAGTAAGCACCACTTAGGGAATGGTCTGTCGCTGTTGCGTTACTTTGTCCGACCTGCCAACGGGTTGCACACCTTTCCCTTTTTACGGGTCTCAGGCCTGTTCTGAAACCTAATTGAAATCTGTTCTCGGCTGGATATCGTGTTAGAAGTATGCTAACCCAGAACATCGGTTGTGAAAGGCGATTCAAATCAAAAGGAACATTCTCAGTCACGTTTTCTCACTCCATAGGAAGTTTGCCCTGCCTTGCAAGCTCTTTTCCCGGAACAATACCGCTGCACGTATCACTGTAGACCCTACTCCCAAAATCTGATACAATAAAATC